GGCAAACATGGTATGGAGGTGTTTCATGCAGCAACCTAGTGTTACAAGATTATAAATATCAAAGTTCTTTGTCTTCTCCTTCACTTCTTCAAATACTTTATACCATTAGCTGTAAAAAGTGAAGGTTCTCAATCAAATAGAGAGTCTGTAAAAATTGCCCCACTGAGATTAGTATATGGCACAAAAAATGACTTCTTCTGGAATGTTACAGAATATTCTTAATAAGTTTTATTCTGTTATGTGACATGTCCATTAAAGTCCAGTTCTAGATGTCATCCTTTTACCTGTACTACAGATTAACATGCATTAAATAGCAGTATTTGTGATAAGATTCTTATCTGATGTGAATTTTCAGCCAAAAAAAGAAAAAGAAAATCACTTTAGGAAACTGCTATAGAAGGTATTGAAATTTAATGACATAATTTAAGTATTGTAACATTTTGAAAGGACATTAGGGGTCAGAGTTAAACTCCTTCATTTTCACATGCAGAGACAGCCGAACAATGAGTTTTAATAACTTGCTCAAGGTCATTTCAGTTTTTATTGCATATAAATTGCTATTATATTTAGTTTCAAAGCTCTAAAATGAATAGTTGTGCTTCTCAGAAGTTTTTCACACTATATAAGTTTATTCAAAAATTGCTTGAGAAGTGTGTAGGCAGCTGATCTTACCTTACAACCCTGTTCCCCAAGGAGTGATAGGTGGCAATCAGGGGATGCAGCAGATCCACGGATCTACCCAGAAATCTACCTTTTTAAAGCTCACAATTCAGATTAATACAACTTTCCATGAGCGCAATTGGTGTAGATCAATGTTTTCACTGTGGCGTTATATTACTTTTAAGAAATTATTGAACTTGGACCATGAAGGTGCTGGCAGAGTATTGAGGACAGAGAAGGAGGGGGAGACTAAGCAGAAGAGAGCAGCAAATAGCAAGAGGGGGCGTGGCTTCGTGTGCTGAGTGGGCGTGGCTTCTTATGCTGAGTGACTGTGGTTTCATATGCAAAGTGAAGGGTACCAGAACACTGACTTCTTCCTTCTCTCACTCCTCTTTGTACAGAATCAGACACTGCTCATTTGGTATGAGAAAAGTGGAATCCTATGTTTTGGGAATCGCTCTAATTACTTTGATGGGATAAGAAAGAGATTTGAAAAGAAGCCTGAGAAATTCAGATGGGGCCAAAATGCATCATAGAGAGAAGCCTTTCTTGCCAGTTTCTCCTGTTTAAATCTGGTAATCTGCCTCATAGATAAGGGAATAGAGATCATTGTCTTACATAAATGAGATTAAAATTCTGTCCGGTTACTCAATTTCCACAAAAGAGAAGCTGGTTACCTTAGAGCAGGAACTTAAGGATCAAACCAAAAAGTTATAGGTATTTAAGACTCTATTCTCTATCCTTAATAAAATATTTACGGATGACAGCATTGAGTTTTCTAGCTGCTTTAAGAAATTTCTCTTTCTGGTTGTAAGTTGAGAAAAGGTGCGATCGAACGGAAGGAGTAATTACTGAGGACTTACTCTGTGCTATGTAATATTTTTTAAGTCTTCTTTTGTTATTTAATATTCACAGTATTTTTATTGTCATTTATTTTTTGGGCACACGGTTTCACTGTTTAGTTCTGCTTAGCTTTGAAATCACTATGTTCCTCAGGGTGACCTCAAAATCGAGGTGATACTTGTGCGTTAGCTAGAAAAATAATACGCCACCAAGGCTGCATCACAGTAACTTATGAGGCATGTGTTCTATATTTTTAGAGAAAATAAAATTTCAGAACTTAAGGAAATTGAATATATCTCATTCCATGGTTAGGAATATTTTTGAGATTTTTAAGGCGTTTCATTTTTACCATTCAATAAACACAAGACCAATGTGCTAATATGAAGTGATGACAGACAAATATATAGAAAACCCTTTCCTGTTTTCCTCGTGGTCCAGGAAGGTTTATATTTGTAATCCCATGGAGAAGTTATTGGAATGCTAATGAGATAATTCCAATCTATCATTTCCAGTGCATGGCAAAATAAAGACACTAAGACATACATACAATTGTGGGGAGCTAAGGGGTCCTAAATCCAGCCAAAATGGTGTTCATCTGAACAAAGGCCACACCCTAGAGTCCAACCTGGATTTTATTAATCCTCCATGAAGGGAGTGGCTTGGGGATGAGGGGTAGTGAGAGTAGCAGGAAATACATTACCACCAGTGACTACCATGACCTGGCCTAGGTAAGAAGTCTGAGGTCACCTCTGTGATAGCAGAGGGCAAGAAATTCAGAGAGAGCAATCTGCATATCACAGCTCAGGTAGCATCTAATAATCTGGGATCAGTGTTTCAGATCTAATACACTATCCTTTTTGCCCTGAGAAGTCATAGACTCTTTCTCAAGACTCAACCACACATTGAGGAGACACTGGGTGGGATAGCACTGATCTATCTCTTTGCTTCAGCAAGTACACATCAGCTTCTCAGCTAAACCAGTTTATATTTCTTAAAGCCAATTAAGGGTACAAAGAAATAGCCAAGTTAGCTCTGTACATAACAACACAGGGAGACAGGGCAAAGTTTATCCAAAATGGAGATAACTGCTCTTCTTTTCAAAGAGAGCAAGGAGAGTCATCTGAGTGGTTTCCCACAAAGAATTTCCAATTAGTTTTCATACTGATACCCTGTATTTATTTGGCCCCTGGCTTCAGAGGATTTAATCCTGGTAATCTGGCTGTAACACAGGAATATTGTGGTAGAGATGGGTGGTGAAACAAAGCTGATCATGCTCCTAAAGAACCAAAGCACTGGGGCAGAACACCGCGTAGAGATAGACCCTTGAGAGGTCTGACCCCAGTGACTGAGCTCCTCCTAGCATCTTGTTGTACTCTGATGAGTCCAGAGCACCTATGAGCCAGCTACCTCTACGGTTTCTTGTTCCTGTCATTTTTATAAATAAGTTTAATTGGCACAGACAACTTCACCAGCTCTTCAGGAATCTAAGAAGAACTTTAGGAAATACATTTCTTCCTTTTTCTTCTTTACAGGTAGTGGTTGAGTCCAAAGATCAAGAGACAGAGAAAGTCTTAGACTATTGCTTTGAAACCATTTTTATAATACTCCTTCTGACTAAAATGCCTCAATTCTCAAATATATAGGAGAAAAATAAACCATAAAGTACATCACACTCTTTTAAGAAAAGCAGGTGTTAGAGTGGAGACAATTGCTAAGGGCAAGCAACAGTTAAAGCAAAGCTGCTCTTCAAAGTCTGATGGAATCCTGGGATAATGATTCCAATTCTTCTCTTTTCCATCTACTTTAAGCACCTGCTTACTACTTAAAAACAGAGTTCAGAAAACCTTTAGAAATAAGAATATTGTGTTGTCATCTATGTTCTGCCATCCTAACACATTGTATTAGAGAATATATTTAAACAATCCATTCAAATGAGCAATCCTGTCTGCTATGTACTTTGTATTTTTAAATTTTTTTATTTTAAAGAGATTAGGACAAAAGAGGATATAACAAAGCATATCAGAACAGAACAATGTAAGCTACACAGTATTTCACTACAAGACAACCTGTAATTAAGCAAGGCAGACAATTAAACAGAATGTAAAGATAAAGATGAAACAGCAGAAAGATAACATGTGTATAACAGTTAGAACCATTAGTGTAAATAGTCTCAAGTTCTCAATTAAAGAAACAAAATGGCAGAATGGATCAAGAAACAACATCCAACCATATGCTGTCTACAAGAAATCCATCTAACCCAAAAGGAAACTCAGACTGAAAGTCAAAGGATGGAAAACAATACTTCATGAAACAAGAACAATAAGAAAAAGTGAGGGTAGCTATTCTGTTTGCAGACAATGTGAACTGCAAACCAAGAATTATCCTAAGAGATAAAGTAGGTCACTACATACTGGCTAGGGGAAAACTTCAAGAGGCAGAGATAACAATCTTAAATATACATGCACCAAATTCCAAAGCACCCAGTCATACAAACAAGTATTAATAAAAATTAAATATCAAATTAGCAATAACACAATTGTAACAGGAGATCTTAACACACCATTGACACCAAGGGACAGATCAACTAGACAAAAAATCAGCAAAGAAATAACAGAACTGAATCATACCTGTGAACAAATGGACTTGATAGACATATATAGACTGTTCCATCCAACAACAACAGAATATACATTCTTCTCAACAGTACATGGGACACTCCCTAAAACAGACCATATACTAGCCCACAGAACATATTTAAATAAATGTAAAAGAGCTGAAATTATCCCATGCATGCTATCAGATCACAGCGCCATGAAACTAGAAATTAATGACAAAAGAAACTGCAGAAACACCACGAACACATGGAAGTTCAATAATACACTCTTGAGCAATCAGTGGGTCACAGGAGAAATTAAAGAAGAAATTACACAAAGTCTACAAGCAAACGAAAATACAAATACAACTTACCAGAATCTGTGGGATACAAGAAAACAGTGCTATGTACTTTGGCAATGACTTTAAAAGTCAAATTTCAAAAGTTGTATGGTTCCCTAAATCTTCAAATTACATACTATTTATCACTTAAATCTATGGTTTTTTAAGAGTAAAAGGCTAAGCATAAAAAAAGATGTAGACAAGTAAATTGATTCCAGGTATACTAGAAAACTTTAAAAAATGTCACATAATTTTAGTAAACTAGTTCAAATTTAATGAATTGCAGTGGTACTTTGGTTCATGAACTTAGTACCAGGATTCTAGGAAATATGGCCTCACTAGTGTTTGTTCAGAAAACATGGCATGGTTGTGACCATCATTCTTTGTGAAATTTGCAAAGCAAATTTTGCTGAATGCTTCCATTGGGAACCTGTCCTCAAACAACCATTCATGAACCAAGGTACATATGACTGTACTGTGTAATGATTCTACAATGGTACTTCTTCACAAACTTAATTTGCTTTATGATTTTGGGGAAGCTGACCTCTTCCATTTTTGTACAGGAAAGATGGCTTCAATTGTGTTCATCACCCAACGTGAAGTATGTGAACAAAAGCAAAATTTTGTCAAAAGTTTTGGTTTGAGAGTCAAATGTTTGCCAACAAAAGCCTTCATGACCTGAGGTATTAATGCATTTCTTTTTGTGTTTTAAAATGTAATTCATAGTTTCTCATGAAAGAAAAACATCAATACTAATTTTTAAACCTGAAGGTAATAGATGATAATATTTACATGAGTTTTATGCTCTTGTTACACAGAGAAGAAAACTAGAAATAAAAAAATATATTTTCAATGTATGTAGTTAACATTTTTGTTTTATTTTTAATTCTTTTTTTCAAGGCCTGCATGCATTTTTCCAAGAGTGCACTTTAAAGAGCTAGAATTCTTCTCTGTGATTGGTATAACTTTGTTCCAGTACAGGAAGGATGATATAGTTTGGATAGAAAAATATTCAGTTCTTCCATATGTTCAAAATCATAGAGTTACACTTTTAATTTGTGGTTTCTGTCACTTTCAGTTAAATTATAACAATTGAAATATGCTTTGTTGTGTTAAATAACAATACAGGCAGGCTAGATACCTGACATCAAACATTGGAAATATTTTTGGCATATTTTATATATTTTTCAATTTTAAAAATCAGGATTTTATATTTTGAGCCAATGCTTAAGAATAAATTACTCCCCAAAATGAATGTTACTCGTGTATGAAGGTAGAAAGTTAGACCACTGACTTCCTCTGTGAGCACCAAAAAGAGAAGATTTCTAGGGTCGGCAGTTGAGTGATTGGCTGTTGCTCCACTGTTTAATAATTAAGTGACATGCTACGTTGGTTAAGTTTATCCTCCATTTCTTCAGATATGTAATGGGAATAAGCTTTAGCTCCTAAGAATGTTGAAAGGATTAAACTGGTAATTTATACTTTATATATAGAAAATAGCTGTTTTCATTATTGAGAACTTTAGAGTAAAAAATTTATCTTTCTTTTGTGATGAGGTGTTTGAATAAAATATCATAAGCTGTGAAAGCCACTGAAAAGTAAAAGATGAATAATATCATTTCATCTGACATTAAAGACCTTTCTTCCTGCATCATTATGAGAAGATCCACGTATGTCACAGTGAGCTAATGTGAGAATATTGACTATTATGCTGCCATGCTCAACCAGTGAGGATTATGTCTTACTGCTGTTTAATCTCTGTGTTTTGTTAAATATTCTATATAAACTATATTTGATAACTTTTGCAAAGCATAAAATAAAGAAAATGGATAATGGAAATATGGTAAGATAACAGGGATAATTTTATTTTTATTTAAAACTATTATTGAGACTATTAATATCCAGTAGTGATGAACTTGTAAATTTGTGTAAACACTCCCAAACACCCAGAAAAGCTGAGCAAAGAATAAAATTTTCAGGAAACTTAAAAATTAAATTTTGGAGAAGACATAATGTAACAGACATAAGTGTTTAGATCTGGGTTAACACTTAGGGTTTTAGCCAAATCAAAGAGAAGTAATTGAGAAACCAAGTCCCTAAGAACTATTTTCAATAGTCTCATGAAAGTATAGAAACAAAAACTGAATCTCAGAAATTTCCATGGGGGAAAAACATCCCAAGATTCTTACCCTGGGATTGGATTCTTGAAGTGCCACAATAACAGGGCAATTTTTTGCCCATACTGCGATTGATTTTGTGAAGCTCATCATCAATTAAATTTAACAGTAGCCTCTTAATTTGGATATTATGAGACTGGATTGCCCATTCGCCCTGAGGAGAAATTGTCAAGATCATGGTTACTTTTGGAGGGAAGTCAAGAATAGCTCTAGAAGGTGACACGAGAGGAGCTTGTGTTCTGGCAAAGATGCTGCTTTTAGCTTATGTAGTAGTCAAAATCCCTATTGTCTTACCATGATTCCATTATCCATTTTCTTATTATTCATCTAGTATAGAATCATTACTCTAAGTAAAAGTGAGTCATTGTTGTAAGCTACCTGCTGCAAGTTATTCATAACTTTCTCATTAAAAATATAGATTGTATAAAAATGCTATGTGGAACATTCTTATAGAAATCTTATGATGCATTGATAAACACACAGATGCTTGGTTTCATGATAGTACACTCTATTACAGTAGACCAACAACAAAGAGTAAGTATAAAAAGCAGCAAAATCCACAGTCTTTTAGGAAAAAGTAGACTGTATTTTTCAAAAAAGATGTTATTAAATTTTCATCTGTTTATTTAAACAGTTTGTAAGTTATCTTATAGATCAGAATTATTTTTCAGATTTACTTTCAAAATAAATATGAAAGTGTTTGTTATATATTATATAAAAATTAGATTTATTCTGTTTTTCTTTTTAGGTCTGTAATTTCAATGTTAACATTTTAGTAAGTGCACTTAATTGTTTATATCAAAAGCTTTGAGGGCTAAGCAAACTTTTAAAAAGATGGAAAAATATCAAGTAATCTTCAAATTTCCAATTGGTTGATAACAAAAAAATGCTTTTGTTGGTTGCTTGTAAAGGATAACACTGACTTTTCTCCCTAATGTTAAAAGTGTTGATACAGTACTAAAACTTCATTACTAAAGGAAAAACAGATAATTTGAACAACCAAATAAAAAGTTATTGAAAATGTCAATAAATAATAAAATATTTGATTATGTCAGACACAAAATTAAATTAATAATTTAATTTATTGTATCAATAAATATCTATATTTATTATTGCATAAGCACATATGAACATTGGATTTTATTGTAATACACTAAAATATAATGTGTCAATATTATATCAAAATCATCCTGAGAATATTAAAATATATAAAAATTATACTATGAGAATGTCTTGTAAAAAATGAGGGACACAGAATTCTTTTCCATGATAAAATTCTTATTCTCTATTATGTAATATACACTTGTGCACAGAAAGATATATGAGTGTTTACACTCAGATGAAGATTTTATCAGTATTATTTCACTAAGTCTCATGAGAACTCTGTGATGTCAGTACCAATATAATCGGCATTTAACATATCAGTAAATTTTAGAGCAATTATATTCATAAGCCTAGTTTTGTGGAATCCAGGACAAGAATTGAAGCATTTAGGTTCTAGAACCTCCTTTTTTAATTACTGTAGCATCTCGTGATCATTGAAATTACTCTTTAGGATAAAAATATAATTAATATAAATTAAAGTATTTATCTTGCTTCTAATATTAAGGCCAATGCAATCAATAGTAGTATACAAGCTACCTTAGAGTGATATCATCATTATTTGATTCATAGAGGCAACAGTCATCCTAGCAAAAGTTGTGAATATGAGAAACCTTTGTTCTATGGAGTCTTAGACTGTCCTGAAAATAGAAAATTTTTGCTTGACACATTTTCTTTCAAGCCAGAGTTTCCTGCTCTTATTTTTCTTGACTGTCTTCTTTCTTTCCTTCTTTTATATATAGTTCCTCCATTTTTTCTTTTCTTATCTGCTGTTCATCTCTTGGGGAGAACGCTTTCACTATAACTTCTCTAAGCCTTGTTGTGGAGAAGAACTTTGCAAACGCCAAATGAAAGCAGTTTCAAAAGAATATGATTCAGGTAATGGTCATGTATTTGTTGCATTAAATGGACATGAAAATCTGAATAGAATATATCAATAAGAGAATAAATATACATTGGCCAGATAAAGACAAATTATTAATACCCATTTGGAAAAGTTTTAATATTACTAGAAATTAAAGAATCACAAATATAAATAGTCACAACACTATATTCACCCAAAGAAAAGTCTTTAAAATATATGAAGCAGCACTCTATGCTGTTAAAAGTATTTTGGCAGGTGTGCATTCTTTACATGACTACTTCTACAGCATAACATGGTTCACACACTGGTAGTGAACACTGTGGTGTTTTAATGATCATTCATCACATCTTGCTTTAGTATGAGAAGTTGAATCCTCTGTGAATCTGTGTTGCAAACTGTCCAGAACCATTTTACAAAACAAAAATGCATAGGAGCCAATACTTAACCACAGTAAGTGGTTAAACCTTTCATTTCCAGTTCACTGACACAAGCAGAAACAAATGAAGCCATAATGTTAGCATTTAGTTCTGGTGGTGGATGCAAGACCATTTTGTTTTGTTTGGTTTTTATTTTTTCCACTCCCTGAGGTTAGTTGTGTCTCTATAATCATAGCCCTACTTTGTAGTTTGTTTAACTGATTCTAGTCCAGTTTCAACCACATTTTTTTTTAATGCAGAAGCTTCCATGTAGGCACAAAACAAGTTCCTTTTATGCCTAAAGCTCTCTTCAACTGTGAACAACAGACATAAATTTATACATTAAAAAAAGTAGAAACTCATCTTCTTACCATCTTCTAGGACTTGAGGCTGAAGGCAAATATTAGAGGTTGAAAGTAGCCAATTCCAACATGAATAAAGTGATCAGTCATTTGCTTACCTGACACATCTCATTATATTAGGGCTGTGATTTCCAAGCTTACTTTTCCAGAGTTAAATATATATAACATTAAGGGTAGAGAAAACAGCTCCATCGTGATCTCATGATAACTACTTTCAATTGTAAAAAAAGGCACTGGAGGACCACTCTTATGTCTTCTTTTGAGCCATGTGTGTTTAGCTATTCCTTAGAAACTTTAGAGAAAAGTCAGTGTCACAATACTTGCTCATTAAAATTCTTGGAAGATTAAGATTTATTTTTAAGTCAATAAAGAAGGAAGAGAGACAAGCAAGTTTACACAGATGTCACGTAGTATAATTTCCTGAGTCCTGTGAGTTTTAGTGTCTTTGTGTATTTGAAAAAGAAATTAAGAAATTACTAGTTACTCGTGGCTGAGTTTTCATCAATGAATATTTACCTATTAGTACATGAAATGCAAGGAGCAGTCTGTAAGTAGCTCATGGTTTATTTTTAAAATTCCAGGTGTTCAGTTCATCTGCATATAAATATGACACCCACACAGGCATGTGAGTTTATTCACCAAAGTAAATAAAGCTCCTCGAATGATATATCTTGTATTTTCTTTAGAGATCAATCCCACACAAACCGCATTATTTATTCAGGGTGATATTAAGATGTTCACTCTTTACAAGAATAAACACACCGAAGATGTTAATGTCAGCACTTCATTTTCCGTGGAGCACTTGGACTTAAATACAGCCGAGGAGCACATGACATTTTCTTTGCATTTTTCCTCTCAGTATTTGATTATAGCTTTCTATTTGTGGTAACTTACTTCTAAAAGACATCACAGATT